TTTTCTGTCAAGATGGGGTGCTGAGTGTACATTAATGAGAAATAAAATGAACTTTTTTGATTTTAGCAAATGGCTGCAATGAAACAAAGTGAAACATTTAAAGGGGTCTGAATACTTTCCGTGTGTGTACACGTGTGTGTGTGTGTGTACACGTGTGTGTGTGTGTACACACACTATATAATCTCAAATGTGAGAGATTGTTCTCGTATATTTTCCACTTTAATCTCAGATTTTCTTCCTCACATAAAGGATGTTTTTATCTACAACGGTCGGAATATGTTGTAGTTTTACGATTTTTTCCTTTTTATGTTGAATGTCTTAATGTTGAAATAAGTGTTTTCACTTTGATATGATTTAAGTTTTATAATCTGTCAATATTAATATAATAAATTCTGACTCTGGGTAGCAGTTTGCAATAATACAAATATTAAATAATGGCTATTATTTTGTACATGTGTTGACGTCATGTGTTTACTATCATAACGGTCGGCCCGGCCGCTAGCAGCACCTGATGCAGAGCGCCTGGTCCAGTGAGCCCTGCTCCAGTAGCTGCCGGGTAAATACACCCCACACTTCATCACACACGCATCCACGTTCACATTACTGGTGCTACTGACTGACACTTCAAAGGTATTTACTTCTTTATTTAGTTAAAATAAATACTTCACCACCATCCCTTGTGTCTCGTCCACATTTGTCATGGCCTAAGAGCCGGGTTATGACAATGATCAATAGAAGATATTGATAAAACCACAAAGACACGTTAATGATAACGTGATATTAATTATTATTAATAGAGAACTCAGAGCTTCAATCATAAAGTTATCAAACTTTTAAAGTTCAAAACTGAGAAACAAGTCGGAAGTTGGAGCTAACTCGATGCTAACGTTAGCATCGAGTTAGCTGTGCTAGAGGACTCACCTAAAGTCTCAACAGTTTAACACACACAGGTAAAGATGAATATAGTTCTTAGTACTGTACTATAGTACTATATATATATATATATATGTACTGTGACGTGTTCACTCACCTGAGCTACGTTCACCTGCACGTTTAAAACCTCCGTTAATGCTAAAGTTAGCTCGAACAGATCCACCCGCGTCTATCGAGCGCTGACACAGTGCTCATGCGCACGATCTGTGCTCCTTCCGGGACCATCGGAAATTACATCTTCTTCTTCTTCTTCCAAATGTCCCATTACTGCCACCTTCAGGTTATTGATTAGCAGTATCTATTATATTTAATAAACACTAAATAACCTCCCTGAGCATAATATATTTATATATAAATAAATATATTATTGATGGAGTTGTGTTTGTGTGGACAGACACACACTCAGAGGAAGTGAACCAGCTCTTTAATTCAACAGAAAACTGAATATATTAAACACAAAACAAGAGATCGTACTTCCACTAAACAGAGTACAACTTTCATAAGAAACTACTAACTACGTCTTTATCATCAATTTTTGACAATTTTTTGTTTTTAAATATAAAACATACAGAAGAAACTCTTTAAAGCAACAGCACAACATTCTCTGATATGAGAGGATGGATATTAATCTCATGTCTGCGTGTCAAAGCTGGGCGGATGACGCACGGTCGTTGACAAAAAATAGTTCCGTTTGTTTGGTTGATTGAAATCAACGTGTTCATTGGTTTGGTGCTTAATGTATTTCTGAGCTTTGGACAGAGCCAAGTTAGCCGTTTCCAGTCTCTATGCTAAGCTAGGCTAGGTGTGTCCAGCTGTATGCTGAGCTAGGCTAGCCGTTTCCAGTCTATATGCTAAGTTAGGTGTTTCCAGTCTCCATGCCAAGCTAGACTGGCTGTTTCCAGTCTCTATGCTAAGCTAGGCTAGCTGTTTCCAGTCTCTATGCTAAGCTAGGCTTTAAACTAGTCTGGCTGTTTCCTGTCTCTATGCTAAGCTAGGCTAGCTATCTCCAGTCCTTTGGGGTGTTATTGGTGCGTAAAGCCTTCAAGTCCCTATGCTAAGCTAGGCTAGCTGTCTCCAGTCCCTATGCTAAGCTAGGCTAGCTGTCTCCAGTCTCTATGCTAAGCTAAGCTAGCTGTCTCTATGCTAAGCTAGGCTAGGCTAGCTGTCTCCAGTCCTTTGGGGTGTTATTAGTGCGTGAATCCTTCCGTCCAGGGGAATCCGTTCTTCTGCTTCCTGCGCTTATTGCTGGACTCACAGCTCTGGAAGTCGTCTCCACATCGGTGTTTCTTCATCTGCCTCGAGTCGGAGAAGCCGTGACCGCAGCGCTCGCAGGTGTACAGCTTCACCCCGGTGTGGATCTGCATGTGAGATTTGAGCTGATTGGACTGCCTGAACTTCCTGTTGCACACCACGCACTCGTAGGGTTTCTCTCCGGTGTGGACCAGCAGGTGACGGTGGTAGTTCTGAGGCGTCCTGAACTCTTTGCCGCACTCATCGCACTTGTGAGGTTTGACTCCGGTATGCAGCAGTTCGTGCTGCTTCAGCTGCGCCATCAGCAGGAACCCTTTCTGGCAGACGCTGCAGACGTACGGCCGGTCGCCACTGTGCTGCCTCATGTGGTACAGGTACAGGTGGCGCAGGTGAAAGGACTTCCCGCAGGTGGAGCAGGTGAACTCCTTGTTCTCGGCGTGGCTCTTCTCATGCGTCCTCAGCGTGGTGTTGCTGCTGAAGCTCTTCAGACAGATTTTACAGCTGTAGGGTTTCGCTCCGGTGGGCCGGCGTCTCCCCGCCGACCCACCGACCTTCTGCCGGTCCTTGTTGTCGTGGACCAGCTGCTGATGCTTCTGCAGCTGGCAGTTGTAGAAAAACGTCTTTCCACAAAGGTCGCACATGAACGGCTTCTCCACGCCGTGAACCAGCATGTGGGTCTTCAGAGCCCAGGTACCTGTGAAGCCCTCTCCACATTTATCACACCTGAGGCCGGAACAAAGAACATGTTACAAAAAATATATATATACACGTATATATATATATATATATATATATATATATACATATATATATATATATACATATATATATA